GAATGTGAAGCATTGTTTGTATGAATGTGATGCATTTGTTTGTACGAATGTGAAGCATTTGTTTCTATGAATGTGAAGCATTTGTTTCTATGAATGTGAAGCATTTGTTTTGTACGAATGTGAAGCATTTGTTTGTATGAATGTGGAGCATTTGTTTGTATGAATGTGAAGTATTTGTTTGTATGAATGTGAAGCATTTGTTTGTATGAATGTGAAGCATTTGTTTGTATGAATGTAAAGCATTTGTTTGATGCAAATATAAGTTAAAATCACAATGCTTTAATTTTACTTTTTTTCAACACTACTGAGATTAAGAAATTAGATCTTCGTTTTTTTTTTTTGCTAATTACTAAACGTTCTCACAAATTTTATTCAGGTGGCGCTCTCTTCCAGACAACTCTTCATCAAGATCGTTCAATCGAGGTGGAGACTCCTTGGGACCTGGGTGTAATATGGGAGACTTCTCCACATAACGCGTTGCACGAGCTTTTGCCCATTCAAGCAGGTATGTTCCCCGTCCTCGTGAGACAGAGTACATTCTGGGGGATGCAGCTCCCCAAAACCCTGGAATGGCAGTACGACGTCAAGTACGACAGAAGAGACAGAGAAGACCCACAGAATCACGTGACAGCTATAACTGCTGTGAAAAGAATACTTTTGGTAAGGACGGTCACAAAGTATAAACAGTTTTTCGTGAAGTTAGGTGTTTAATCCCAGACTATCAGGTATCAGTTTTTCTAACAAAGAAAATTTCATATTTTCAAAAACAAATGTTTTCTATAATGTTGCCCCCCCCTCCCACTGGTTAAGCGGTAAGTCTCAGATCTTATAACGCTAAAACCTGGGTTTTGATACCCGTGATGGAAAAAGTATAGATGACCCATTGTGTAGCTTCGTGCTTAACAAGAAACAAAACTTTCATGATATTAAAAGAACAAGTTCGTACTACGTTACTGATGTTAGAAAACCAAATATATCTGTTTTAAACTCACAATCTCTCGTTTAGGTGAACGGGATTCAGTTTCTTACCATGGAGTACGACTGGGAAGCTGGAAGGGAAATCGTCTACAACAGCTCCAGACGTCCCTTCCTGATGGTACAGTACGACAGCTCTTCCAGGCCAGTCAAATGGCTACCAACCGACACCAGGCGGGCACTGCTGGTCAGCTATGACCGCCTGGGTCGCTTGTCGGGCTGGAGGCAGGATCCTCTCGAAGAAAAGTATGAATACGATCGCATGGGCCATCTGGCGGAGATAACTTACACCAACCACAACGTGCTGAGATACATTTACGACGGCCAAACGAGGGTAGGTCAGTAAGGATATACTACAGGAAGCGTAGAATTTTTTTTTTAGTCCGGATATTCACAAAAGGCTGCATTAATAATCTCTTCAATAGACGTCCCTAATTTTAAATTGATAGGCTAGAGAGAAAGTAGCCAGTTAACAGTATCCACCAGCACTAGTCAACAGTATTCACCGGCACATTTCGGGCTGCTCTAAGCAAACTGTGAGAATTGACCATCATTCTTATAACGCACCCACGGTCCCAATGTGCTGAGCGCAATTTAAGGCAATTGGGCGCGAAATAAGGAACCATAGAACCATCAGATTCACAGTCAGGGACACTAACCGACGCGATACATAGAACCATCAGATTCACAGTCAGGGACACTAACCGACGCGATACATAGAACCATCAGATTCACAGTCAGGGACACTAACCGACGCGATACATAGAACCATCAGATTCACAGTCAGGGACACTAACCGATACGATACATAGAACCATCAGATTCACAGTCAGG